CCCCCCCAGTTTTGTTAAATAAAGAGAGTTTATATTTTTGAAAATACGTGTATTTTATTTGACATCAGGAAGGGGGGCTAAGGATGGGTAAGTGGAAGGATGTGAGGGAGGAATGAGGCACAAGACCCCAGTGGGGCAGACCAGGGAGGCTCTGAGTGCCCCTCAGGGTGGATGCTCTCCCACAGGGCCTCCTGGATACTGACAACCCCCCGATGGACCTCCTGGATGGCAGCCTGCAGAAAGTGCAGCCAGGCTGATAGCAGTGCGTCCACGAGACGCACCGGAGTGCCCAGAGGCAGCTCTGGCTCCATGTTGCAGAGTGCTGTGGTGTCCTAAGTGAGGGCAACCAGAGCACTCTGAGACACAAATGCTTTCCTGTCCCACAGCGAGGCAGGCAAGCAAGCAGGGACACCTGAGAACCAGCTGCCCGGGGGATCCTCTTAAGCACAGCCACACAAAGACAATCCTTACCTGATGCCCTAACCTTGACCGGATTCCAGCGAGCCTTAAATCTGAATCAGTGTTCACTCAGTGTGGACACGGTATTTCGAAATGCATTTTGTGTGTAGACACATTATTTTGAAATAAGCTATTTCAAATTATCTATTTCGAAATAAGATATTTCGAAATAACGCTGTAGTGTGGACATACCCTTAGAAAAAAACCTAGTTAATTAAAGTGAAAGATTTGGGATTAATTTTTCCTAGTAGCAACTATACATAAAATTATACTCCCTCCTTCACCCCCATTTAAAACCATGTAAGCTAAAAAAAAAAAGCATAGCTCATTATTCCAGTTGTGCAACTGATTGAAAAAGGGAGGGGGAGCATGGGCCACCCAGATATTAACATAGGAACCTGGGTCTTGGAAAAATCCCAAGTTCACTTCCTACGTCTGTCACACTTTCTTTGTTCATTTTGGTGATTGGTTTAATTGCCTCTGAGTTCTGCAAAATGAAGGGAATAGCGCTTTGTTACTCATCAAGGCATTGTGAAGATAAATACATTGAAGACTCTGAGGAGCTCATCCTACAGGCATGGTGGCTATATATAGGCACCATAAGTAATCAACGGGTATAATAAGATAATACAGGTAGGTGGCTTCTACAGTACTAGTGCAGTAAGACTTTAAGTGGACACAAGAAGAATCTGATCATCTTATTAATTGTTGTATGATGGTATGTTACATCTCTCTAAAATCTTGTTTTTCATCATTTTCAATCTTCCTACAGTTGTGAGGTTAGATCCGGCCCAGAGTTCATCACAAGATCCTATAGATTCTACCACAACAACACGTTCAAGGCCTACCAGTTTTATTATGGTGGCAACCGTTGCACAAATCCTACCTACACCTTAGTTATTCGTGGTAAAATTCGCCTTCGTCAAGCATCCTGGATCATCCGAGGGGGAACTGAAGCCGATTACCAGCTACATAACGTTCAGATCATCTCCCATAGCGAAGCAGTAGCTGAAAAACTAAGTCAGTTAGTGAACCGTACGTGTCCTGGATTTGTACCAGGCAACAGTCCCTGGGAGCAGGATGTGAGCTACAATTTATGGAGAGAAGAGAACGGCTGTGAATGCACCAGAGCTCTTAATTTTGCCATGCACGAACTTCAACTGATCCGAGTAGAGAAGCAGTATCTACATCATAATTTAGATCACCTAGTAGAGGAGCTATTTCTTGGAGACATCCACACTGATGCTACTCAGAGGATGTACTATCGACCCTCTAGTTACCAGCCTCCTCTTCAAAATGCAAAGGTACATACACTTTATTTTTTGACAAAGGAAGCAATACCAAATTTAGCTCTGAAGCCCCTTTTACAAATTCACAGTTTTATTATGACCTAAATCTCCACTGTTATTATAGAGTAAGAGATGAATTGCAGTGTTACAGCCAGTGCAATTTGATCAATTTTTAAGTGATAATTCATGGGAGTAGCATCTCATTTGTCAGTTATGAAACTGCATTATGTGCATTAGAAGTTTGGATCAGTAGGAAGATGGGTTGCTTCAGCAGAAAGAGAGAGCCACTCTACAGTAGAAACAAGTACTAGAATGAGGGAGCACGGCTGTTGAGATGGACCAAGACTGAAAGTCCGCAACCGAAAGGAGAGACGATTCAGGGTTGAAGGCAGAAATGGAGAGCGTAGCAGAGGGTAGAAGGTGGTGAAAAGGAAGCAGTATTGAAGAGGGAAATAATTGAGTGAATACATGGAAGTCGTGCAGCTGAGAGGGGAAAATGGAAGGTAAGGCAATAAGGGGCAGAATGAAGGAGGGAGAAATAGATAAGACTGTGCAGGTTATGGACTGTAACACATATTACAGTATTTGAAATAAAAAGGAGACTTTTGAAACTAATTTCATTTTAAGTCTGTCCTCAACATCCGTATGACCTGATCAAACCACTGAGAGTTAAAAAAAATCAAATGAGAAGAGTGTGCGGTGATGTATATTTGCAGAGAGTCTGTCTGTCTAAATCCTCCTGTGATGACATCTTTAAATAAATCAAGTAACTAGAATCATAGGCACTGAGGTTTTTCTTTTTCCCTGGAGGTGCTCACTCCCACTTTACCCTCTCCCCTGAGGTCCCTGCCTGCTCCCTGCCCTCCCCCAATTCATCCTCCAGTTAGCTGTGTGGTGATGCCCTATTCAGCTCATCTGATACACTGCCAATCAGCTGTGGCAGGGCTGCTTCTGGCCCCTGTGTTATAATGGCATTGCTAGTCTGCTCACCTCTAAAATGCAGTGCTCTAGTTAAAAAGAATAAATCTTGCAAAACATGTCTCCTAGACCCATCTCCCTGTGGTGTGAAGTCTGATTTATTAACATATCAGCACACCATGGGTCTAGTAAAGTTTTCATAAAAATGCGATTTGTACAGTATTCCACCCACATATATATTCCTTAGCCTTACATTTTATAGAATCATAATGGATAAGCTATAGTATTTATAGATATCCCAAACTATTTAAAGCTGGGTAACTGATTTCAGGTTACACTGGAGATTTGCCAGAAACCACCTCTCCTCCCCAATATTCATGACATATGGAAGAAAATTACCCCCTTCACCTTCACTCCAAGGATTGGTCTCACAGAGGCCACCGTGCAAAATGTATTATTTGGCTTTGAGTGGACCTTTTTGTAGACTCCCAACAACTTTCATCTGGGCCAGGGGTGGGTAAAAGGCCTCCGCGGGCCGGATTCGACCTGCCAAGCAGGTAGATCCAGCCCATAGAGGCTCTGCTGCTCCCTCACCCCCAAGCCAATTAAGACCTGGGGAGCATGCAAAGCTTCCTCCACTCTGCCAGGAGCACACGGCGCTTGGAAGCGCCAGGCGCTCCTGACAAAGCTGGAGGAGACTTTGCGCACTCCTCCGCCTCCAGGCCAATCAAGGCCTAGGGGCAGAGGAGCATGCAAAGTTTCCTCCGCTCTGTCCTTGCCCTACGTGCAGCGCTTAAAAGCGCCACACACTCCTGGTAGGATAGGAGGAGGCTTCACATGCTCCCCTGCCCACTAGGCCCTGATTGGCCTCTGCCGTGGCCCTGCCTTTGTGAGGAGCACATGGCTCTTAGAAGTGCCATGTGCTCCTGGCAGGGCGGGAGAAGACTTCACATTCTCCCCTGCTCCTAGGCCCTGATTGATTTTTGCCTTCAGAAGCATGTGCACAACTCGCATTGAAATTAGTGGGTGTCTGCTGTATGGATTCTGACAAATTTTGGTCCTATGTTTACCAGAACTGGTGGAAGAAAAATTAATAACTTGAAAGATCAGCATTGGAGGAGCTTATTGCCTCCAAATATAGGCTCATTTGTCAGCATATAGGCAGAGTCGAAGTCCTAAACTGAATTAATGGCATTGGACGCCATTTACTTAAGTATCACTGGCAACAGAAAATGACATTATTATGCAGAGAGCTAGCTGATACTGGGTATTTTCAAGGTACCCAAAAGTGCAGACAGCTGCAAGTACTGGGTAATAAAAACAGTAGCTAGATCTCCTGATTTCTGGTTCTCTGCTCTGGGCTCATTCTCTTTTGGTAAGTCACCTCATCTCCGTTCCTCCTCTACCTTTTCTCTATATTTTCTCTTTGGACCAAAAGCTTTTCAGGGTGGGAACTGTCTCCGATTAAGTGCCTGTACAGTGCCTGCCCCAGTAGGGTCCCAGTCTTGGTTGGAGCCACTAAGTATAATGTAACAAAACAACTAATAGGACCCATGCAACTTCTGAATGTGATAAATGAAGACTCCGTAGATATCCTTAGTTCTGTGCATCTTGTTCTGATCCTTGTGGTGTTTTTTTTCTCTTCAGGAAACTGGAAAATGGGTATTGAGCTATATTGGGCTCTCATTGTGATACAGTTAACAGTAGACAAAACTTGTATGCAGATTGCACCTCCTTAACCCAGGACTCTGTGGTCTGGAAACATCCTGGACCACAGAGTCCAGGCGCAGGGAGGTCAGCGGCGGGATGGAAGCCCCATAACAGGGTGCGCTGGCGGTGCAGCCAAGAGTCCTGAGGCAGAGGGATCCAGCCACGAGCCCCAGAGCTGAGGGGTCCAGCCAGGGCCAACAGCACAGCCAGCTGAAAGCAAGGAGGGAGGCAGTCAGGGCCGGAAGCAGAGCCAACAGGGATTGGGAGGCCGGTTGTACGGAACAGCCCCATATCCAGCAAATTCCTTTGTGCCGGACCATGGAGGTCCAACCTAAATTTGCATTAGTTGTCATGAAAGACTGCTGTACCGTACCAATGAAGTCTTCTGTACCAGCAGGTTGTTAACCTGGCTCTGGGCTACGGTGTTTTTTGGTTGTAGGCAGAATGGTAACCGAAGATGCATTTTTTTTTCAAAGACCACACAAACATACCATTGAAAGGTTACAACCCTTCTCCTTTGAACTCCTTTCCTTTCTAATTGTTGGTCCACTGAGAGCCAGCTGAAAATGAGTTTAAATACTAAATTGAGTTTAAAACCACTAGTCACAGACTCCTCTGGAAACCGGATACCTTAAATAGAAACATTAAATCAACATGGGTCTCTTTTAAGCTTTTTATCATCATTTAGCAAGACTAGGGAGGTGAGGAAACAGCCCTTGAACTGAATCAGGTGTATTGTGTGGAATCTTTCATATATAGCTGTGTCATTTCCTTTTTATATATAAACTTAGTTTAAGATGATTCACTGTCTGAATTAAATTTATAATTAGGCCTCCATGAAAATGACAACTCCACCTAGCTCATAAATTTGCAGAGCCTAAAAGTTGGATGTGATAACCACCACATTTATTACATAGGCAATTGAAGCCAATGATAATTAAAAGCAAATGACTGCTGGATCAGTTAGAAATGCTAAAGCCACATGATCAGACTTCAAACAAATAGAGTTGGGTCGTGTCCAAATTCCTGCAGTGACTTAGCCACAGGATGGTAAATCAAAGGGGCTGTCCAAAAACCAGACAGCTTTAAGCCAATCTAAGTAGATTCACAAATACCTGTATCTTAACTCAAGTGTGCAAATGACATTGGGGAGCTTTTAAACAATATCTAATTTGTAATCCCTTCAGACCTTACAAATTCTTTTAGATAAGAACATCCCCCCTCCGCATAAATTCCTCCTTTAAAATATTGTACATACAAGTTTGAGTTGACTTGATCAGTCAAGATGCTGACAGAGCTGAAGTTGATCATTTCAGATTTGATTCTGGAAGCTGCTGAGCATCGTCGGCTCTTATCGAAATCACAGAGTTCAGAAAGGTGCTCTGCACCTTGCAAAGACAGCTTTTTAAATAATATCTAAGAACTAAGGGAGGCAAACAGAAGGTTGGAGCGATCTTAGTAATGTAATGGTAGCAATATGCTGTGCTGTGTCATATGGAAGATGCAGGGTCAAGTGACTTCAGGGATTCTCTCTCATGAATAGAGCCCTGCATGGATACAATATTGGCTGTGTCTACACTGGCGCGATCTTGCGCCAAAGCGGCCGCTCTTGCGCAAAAACTTGCTGCCTGTCTACACTGGCTGTGGGTTCTTGCGCAAGTAAACTGACATTCTACTGTATGAAATTAGGGCTTCTTGTTCAAGAACTATGATGCTCCCGCTCAGGAAAATGGTGATCGGGGCTTTTTTGCGGAAAAGCGCGTCTAGATTGGCACAGACGCTTTTCCGCAAAAAGTGTTTTTGCAGAAAAGCATCCCTGCCAATCTAGACGCTCTGTTCTGAAAATGCTTTTAACGGAAAAGTTTTCCGTTAAAAGCATTTCTGAAAAATCATGCCAGTCTAGACGCAGCCTGTATGGTTTGTTTAAGTGATGTGGGATAAAAGGCCCCTAATGGACTGAGGAATTGAGAACAAGTGTGGCGCTCAACCTGCTTAAGAGCTCTATTTAGAAAGTTGCATTTGTCTAAAAAATGGTGTGCATGGAAATCATACTGGCATCCAGCTTGCACATATCTTGCACAAAAAATATTCTTTACAACATAGTCTACACTCTGATTTTTGTAGGGATAAGAGACATGTAAACAAGTTATTCTACTGATAGTGTGGTATCTATTAAAGTGTTAGGACAGAATGGTTTGTAAAGTCATCAGAACCAAAAAAGTGGTGAATAAGGATATTCAAAACTTTTTTTATTCTCAAATATTCAATGAGATGCATTTTTAATGAGAAACATTCTCATTCAAAACCATATACTGAGTATATTTCTTCACTCTCTCGCAAATTTGTGGTTTTTGTTTGAGCTTGATATTTTTTCAGACTTGCTTAGC